ATTCAGCATATATATGAAAAGTTCAGACTCTTGGAGTGTTGGCTCTGAGGAAGAGGCTGAGTCCCTCGAAACGCGTCAACCAGTTGATCATCCAGGGTTCCATCGTTGTGGACTCAGATGCTATATGGATTAAACACCTTTGTTCATTGTGATATGCCTATGTTTTATATGTCCGTTGTGAGTATGATACCTACTTTTTTATTCTTTCAATAAATATTTTTAAACGATAATGCACTAGGCCTGTGTGCCCTCTTTGTGTTTTTTTGATTTGCATTTAGTGACTTGGACTACCCCGGTCTGTTGAGGGCAGCAAGCAGTGCATATTCCAGAACATTGACATTGTCAGTCTAGCTTCTGCTGAGTCCAATCTCAGCGCAGGAGTAAAGTACTTGCTGTGTTTGATTCTCCATCCTGATACCCGCCATGGAGATCCTGGGCACTCCTGGGTGGTATACGCAAGACTGGGAACCATGGCAAGGGAAAGGTGGCTCCATTACTAGTGTATAGAAATGAATGAAAGGGTGTGAAAGCTGAAAGTAAAAATGTGAATAAACTCCCTGGTGCTATACTGGCTGGGAGTTTGTGTACATGCCAGCGCTGCCACCAGCATAGTAGTTACACCCTGGGCAAAGAAAGGGTTAACATAGTTTCTGCTGACAGTGCAAGACTTTTATCTGGGGTTATGTCTGAGACCTATATGCATACCTATGGAGGGTGCATAGGTAATACTTGCATAACAGACCACTGGGTCTTTTGTGCTTAAAAGTGAAGTTTCTCATTAACTGGCTGTGAATTGGCCAGTTGTTTCTAATATTTAAATAAGCATTGCAGCCTTCCATTGTTAATCTCTTTTTCAGTGTTGTGTTATCACATGTCTCTATTATGCATGCAGGCAAGGATCAAACAACAACAGACACCATTTTAATAACATTGTGAATACACTTACAGTATTTGAATGAGAAGTATGAACAAAACTACAAAATTTACTTTTGTTCATAGGTACTATACATTCTATAGTTTAATTACCCTATGGTTAAACAGAAATTAAATCAATTTTTCATTGCCTTTAGAAAGACCTCCAAGATGAGATTCCATGTAATTATATAGGGCTAAAGGGTGTAGCTGAACTTATGACATCATGTGGATCAAACAAAACCATAACAGTCAACTGTCTGATCAAACTACATTTGTGCAGAATACAGGACCATTTCTCTTTCTTTTGCATTCCTTTTACCATTCTTGTACACAGTTGGGATGATTTTTTAAAATAGTTGTGAATCTTTACATAAATTGTGTGACTATCCACGTCAATTATCCAATCATGTTCAGATGAAATAACTGGCTTTTCAAAAAATTGAATAACTGAAGTTAACATTCACACAATTTATTGGGTGAAGATTTTCAGCTCCTTTAGTAAATCAGTCCCCTCATCTTAGCTTGCAGTAGGCTTATAAGCCATGCAGAAAATGAAAACATGACCGTGTCAGAAATGTTTGCTCTGGATATAAAGGAACCATGGCCAACGTTTGCACTGAGGCCTCATGGCCTTAAGTTAAGCTTTTGTACTGAGGCCTCATGGCCTTAAGTTAAGCTTTTGCACTGAGGCCTCATGGCCTTAAGTTAAGCTTTTGCACTGAGTCCTCATGGCCTTAAGTTAAGCTTTTGCACTGAGGCCTCATGGCCTTAAGTTAAGCTTTTGCACGGAGGCCTCATGGCCTTAAGTTAAGCTTTTGCACGGAGGCCTCATGGCCTTAAGTTAAGCTTTTGCACTGAGGCCTCATGGCCTTAAGTTAAGCTTTTGCACTGAGGCCTCATAGCCTTAAGTTAAGCTTTTGCACTGAGGCCTCATGGCCTTAAGTTATACTTCTAGGAATTATAGAAGCTATTGCAGTCACAGCTGTAAGCAGCCAACATACATGAAATGTTGTTACATAAGGTAGTAGAAAAACTGCAAACTCTTCCTTTTATTACTGGCATATCAAACGTATATATAGTATGTTTTATTGTTAATTAGAAATGGTTAGTGATTTACCTGTATAAAATCTGCAAATAATGTATTGTGTATACATCAGTAATTGGGTTGGTGGCCTTGGTTCAAAAAGGCTCTTGCTAGATGAGAAAAAGAAGAGAACAAAAAAATTCAACAAAAGTGAATGAGCACTTACCACTATCTTCCCATTCTGACAACTCTCAACTGTAAAGTCCTATAGCAAGCACATACCGGTCCTTTTTTGCTACAACCACCTCTACCATTTCCAATGCTACTGGGTCATAGCATATGATAAAGTAGTTGAAGGACAATGGGACCTGGAAGACTTCACAAAAATGGAGAGCATAGAGAAGAGTGATCTTCACACACTATGCTCACATTGCCGCTTTCCAATGATACCCATCTGGGAACTCATAATAGAAGCCTGCCCTATTCTTTAATTGTTAACATGTTACGTTAAAATATCCTGCTATATGCTGTATGGTTCTGACCATCACTATGAATATTACTATAATAGTACTATATTCTAAAGGCAGTTTCTCTACTCCCATAACACATTACCATTTTCTGCAACGTACAATAAAGTAGCTAAGAATGTTCTAAATCCAGCATAACTGTAATAATTACCAGGTTCAAGAGACAGAGGGTGACAACTCTTACACATCAAATCTGGCATTCTCTTCTTCATCAGACTGCTATTCTTGAATAAATATTAGAAGATATGGTTTTATTTTGCATTCCTTTCTTTTCTGGGATATTGGGCAGATAAGAGCTATCAGTAAAGGTCATCCTCAATTTCTGTACAGAAATGATCTGTCTCCGCTACGTAATAAACATTTATCCATGCTTTTATTAGCTATATTGAATCTGACAGTTCTGTTAAACCATTTCCCTTCATTTTGCTAGGTCATGATGGTTAATGCCGCTTAAAAAAAAAATCTCATCACTGTTTTTGATCGCTGAATCGTATGCCCACACTATTTTGTGCAGGTAAGCACTAGCAAGAATTAACCTCTCAGATGAGCTGATAAAAGGTTTCCACTGCAACTTAATGATATAGAAAAGTGTGATCTCAGAGAGCACGATCTGGTTACAATAATTTTCTCAGTCACTGCATCCATTTTTGTTTATTTAAACACAAGTGACAGGGACTTCTGAGTTACAGGAACACACAATGTACTGAATAGGGCTTGCCAATTGTTTGAAATAGATTTGACTAGGACTAAATAAATAAATGTTAATAACAAATGAATAATAAAATAAAGTAGACACCACCCAGTTTGTCAAAATTTGATTGAAAAATGGAAGGATTCGGGTAGAAAATTGTCGGCTGAACAGTGACTAATCCTATCAGATGCCATGATTATTAGAGTATTAGAGAAACCAGAGTTGTCACAGCTGCTTAAATACAGCAGGCAGCAGCACAGATTCCTATGGTGTTTATCATGGATGGAGGAATCTCTTAGGCTTCTTGCATACTGCAGCTTAAAAAAGATCAGTACAGCGTTTTCTTTTACTGAGTTAAAATGTAGCCCATTATTTTCAATTCGTCTTTGCACACAGACATGTAAACAAGCGCCGCGTATTCCTCAGTAAAAAAAACCCCCAGAAAAATCAGTATTTTTGGTCAGTAATTTACACTGTGTGCACGTAAATGCTCACGAATACACACAAATGCACGTAATTACGCGCATATGAGCATAAATATTAATGCATTTTCCATAAGAATATATTGTGCATGCAGATTCACAAATGCACATATACACACATAAATACGCGTGAATATGTGCAAAACGAATAAAACAAAGTGCGTTCTGAAGACACACTATGCGCAAAATGCATCGAGGCTAGAGCCATACACACTTCCGGTTCCTCTGACATCACTTCTGGGCATTGGAACATATGTATATATTTTTTACACATTTTAAATAAAGAACTTGCTGCATTTGATTATTTTCCTTGGCCTTTTCCTGAGACACTGAGAATAGAGAAGGTGGTTAATATCGTGATTGGAGGAGGTTGATGGATTCTCCAGGACTGTGAATCATACCTAAGGCATACAGGATCTGTGTTTACAAGCTTGCTGGCTACTTTGTTGAACGAGTTGACCTGGTGAGTTCCCATTTCAGCCATATACGGTGGTGGGACACAATTTGGAGTTGAAAGAATTAGACACCTGTTGGACTGTCACATTAGAATGACTTTTGGGATTTCATGTTTTTTGCGACACAGTATTTTATATTTATGTTATGTTGATTCATATTTATTTTGTATGATTATCATGATTGCACTATTTTGGTAAGCGCCTACTTTTATCAATTGCACATGCAAAACAAATGCCTGAAATTACATCCAAAAAAGCAGCCGCTCAAACATCAGTTCTATGTGCAAGAGGCCTTAGATTGCTGAATGAAAGAAATGTATGCTTGCTATGGCTAACCAACTCATGCTGTAAAAAAATAGACATGTTGTAAAGTTAGCTTGAACGTGGAGGAAATCTACTCAAACAGAATGAGAAGAGATCTCCAAAGTACAACTTAGCTTTGGATATATACAAGTCAAAGCAGAATTCCAACGTATTGATACAGAAAATACAATACTGTGATATTGATATACAGTATATGATATATACACAATATTTATTTAGAATCACTAAGATATTTTTTCATTTTTTCACTTTTTCTTTTCAAGCATTTTTTTTTCTTAATAAAGCGCCATTACATTAATTTAGGCATATAGCAAACTAAGTGAAAAAAGAGAGATATAAGGTGAACGAGGACACATGTTTTTTTTTGTTGTTTTTTTGGGGGGGTTTTAGGCATAGTTAATCGGGTTGAAAAAAACACATGTCCATCAAGTTCTACTAAATGGAAAAAGAAAAATATATAAATAATTCACAGTTAAGCCAGAGAAAGGGAAAAAAACTTTTAAAAAGAATGGTCCACTATGTTCCAACATGGAACATTTTTCTTCCTAATTCTCAAAAGCAACCATAAATTCTCTAAATCATCAAATTTATGGGATTTATGAGATTTCTGACAGCTCGCAAGGAGAGGAGAGCCAGTAATCAGCATTCCTTGGAGGGGACATGTACACAGATCATCAGAGCACTGATGATCAGTGTGCCCTGATGATCTGTGTAGCCCCAGCAGCGCCACCTGTCAGTGTCCATCAGTGCCAGCTCTCAGTGCTCATCCATGCCACCTGCCAGTGGCCATCAGTGCCACATGTCAGTGCTCATCAGTGCCACATCAATGCCACATATCAGTGCCCATCTGAGCTGCCTTTCAGTGTCACCCATCAGTGCCAGTCAGTGCCACCTATCAATGCCAGTCAGTGCCACCTATCAGTGCTGCCAATCAGTGCCACCTATCAGTGTCAGTCAGTGCCGCCTATCAGTGTGCATCAGTGCCACCTATCAGTGCCCATCAGTGCTGCCTATCAGTGCCGCCTAACAGTGCCAGTCAGTGCCACCTAACAGTGCCAGTCAGTGCCGCCTATCAGTGCCGTATATGAGTGCTGCCTTTCAGTGCCCATCAGTGATGCCTGTCAATGCCCTTCATTGCCACCTACCAGTGCTCATCAGTGCCCATCAGTGCCACCTATCAGTGTCCATCAGTGCAGCCTATCAGTGCCCATCACTGCAGCCTCATTAGCGCACATCAGTGAAGGAGAAAAATCACTTATTTACAAAATTTTATAACAAAAACTAAGAAAAAACTTTTTTTTTCCAAAATTTTCAGAGGTTTGTGGTTTGTTTAAGAAAAAACAAAAAACCCAGAGGTGATTAAATACCCCCAAAATAAAGCTCTATCTGTCACAAAAAAATGATAAAAATTTCATATGTATACAGTGTTGCATGACTGCGCAATTGTCATTCAAAGTGTGACAGCACTGAAAGCTGGAAATTGGCCTGGGCAGGAAGGGGGTATAAGTGCCCTGTAGGCTAGTGGTTAAAGTGTACAACTTTGCATCAAGTTTTACTTTATGAATACTTTAGGTGATCATATCCCCATACAAGCTTCTCATCACACAGAATAATAATTCAGTTCAGTTAAACCTGATTGCTGATATCTTCCATGCCCCTTATCAGTTTAATTTTCCTTATATGCAGTCTCTCCAGTTTCACAACATAATTTTTGTGAGCTAGTGCCCAAAACTGAACTGCATTTCTAGGACAAGGTCTTAATGAATGTGTAGGTCAATATTATAAGGCTGATTTACTAAAAGAGTCGAAAATCTACTTCTAAATGACCACTGTTCACTTTGCACACAAGTTCAACAGTTTATGGACTATAGTTCTCACAGTGCTGGAATGTTCAATGAACTTTGTTTGGAAAGGCGAGTGAATCAATACTATATAGTTGGATATAGGTTGTGAGATTATGGAAAGTAAATAGAAACTTGGTAATTGAATACAGCTATGTATCATCCACTCATGTTATGCACAAATGTGTTTTATGGTTTTTGATTTATGTACAAATAAAATGTGATTTTTATGTAAAGCTGGGTACACATTATAAGACAATCGGAAGAAACATTCTGTATAAGGAATGAATGGGTTGATTATAATATCATTATAATTATAAGATAATTATCTGTCCATTGGTATAGTGCTTTTGACAGCTGATTCTGACTGTTGGAAGTAAAAAAAGCGAAGGTGCAAGCTAGAAAATTTTTTAATGTACGTGAACACAATGTCCGATATTCTTTCAATGTGTACAGTAATCACATAGAAATAATCAAATAGAGCAAAGCAAAGAACGACCCAGAAGGTGGCGACAAACATAGAAATCATACACTAGAAAGAATGTTTGCATTCGTCATTTTTATACAAGTTAATACCACTGTCAGGTACATCATAATACTCACCTTTGTGGAAACATTGGACACTCAGTTGTCTGATTTTCTCATAGTATGTACCCCACTTAGGTGTTGTTTTGGTAAATAATACCTAAAATACTAGCTGTTAACGACAGAGGGGATAACTATATTTATTCACATGCCATCATCCCTTTAACCTCCCTGGCAGTATGATTATTTCAGATTTTTGGTGCAGAAAGCGGTACCATTATTTTGCATGGAAATATGTAGTTTTTTTATTGTAGGCTGTAATTTTTAGGAATAACTCACTGAAATCTGTCCGAACAAGAGTCTATTAAACATCCCGGGTATGATAAAATTTGAAACACGAAATCATAAATTATAATTTAATAAATAATCATAAAAAATAATAATATAATAATAATACATTTAATTCAATAATATAATCAAACCGAAAACACGGAAATTTGAAATAGAGCGCCAAGTTTGTACATTGCTGAGCAAAGTCGCAAAATCGTTTTCAGTGTCTGATGACGAATTTCCCCACTAATCATTATCACTCAATTCTGCAAGTGGTTCTGATTTACTATCGCTGTTCTCTAGCTGATCTAAACCCGCTTTTGACCTAAAGGGACACTTTTTGGACGCCATGGACATTTCTCAGTTTCCAGGCAGAAAGAACAGACAAAATGCAGGCAGGGCACAGGACAAAGCACTAGGGACAATATGTATGTGAAATGGGTTGAAACAGCAATGTTTTACTATGAAAAATGTTTTTGAAAAAAATGACATTTTTTGTAATTTTCAAACTTCCCACCGCCGACGGCGCCCGTACATCCCGACGTCACAGGGACCGGAACACAGAAGCCGGATGCCGGCATTGGCCGGAGGAGATGGCCGGGGACGCTGCAGGGGACACATCGCGGGAGTGAAGGACAAGGTAAGTGCTGCAGGGACTCCCTATGCAGCGCTGCATGGTAAGCCCGAGTGTAGCTCGGGGTTACGCTTTTGGTACAGAAACTTTACCCCGAGCTACACTCGGGAATACCACTAAGGAGGTTAATTTTACACACTACAACCCCTTTGTCAACAGTGGTACTCACTGTTGACAAAGGGGTTGTAGTGTGTAAAATTAAAGGGATGATGGCATGTGAATAAATATAGTTATCCCCTCTGTCGTTAAGAGCTAGTATTGTTTAAAGAGGTTATCAATAAAATAAACCTAGAGCACCAGTTAGAAACTCTCTGTGTTTTGATCACTAGTGCCAAGGGCTGCTACACTGAAACCAAAACAATGCATCTGAGCTTGAAGATAAAGAGCTTTAGAAGTCCCACTATTAACGAAACACGTAGGGTGGGGCCTGATAGCGCTACACTAGTCCTCTGAGAAGGAATTGCTTTGTGCTGGGATTTAAAGTGCCATACACATTTTTTTTATGTAAGTGCAATTTTAAGTGTTTTTTACCTAATAAATACGCTGTTACACTATGGAAATTTCCCTTTGATGTTTTTAAGGTGGTGGAGGAGTACTGTGGATGTTCTGGAGGAGTTTTTACAAGCGACTGGTCTAGAGGAGTTTTCACATATGGAGTCCGTTACCAGTGTATAGAGGTATCAAGATCATACAGACGGCCAACTTACTGCAGGAGAGCGCTGCAACATCTAATGCGATACATGACCTACCATCCAAGGTGGTCAATTATCTGTGGTGAGTGGGGCTCTGGAGGGGATGCACTAATTGTAGCACTTCGCACAGAGGATTGCTATCGATAAGATTAACTATTGTATCACTTAGTATTCACATTGGATGCGGATGGAGATTTTTTTACATTGGAACTTTTATATGTTCGCACACTGATTGTCTTTTGCATATAAGTTCAATGTATATATAGTTTGACAGTATTGTATATTTACTATTTATAGCACAATTGCTGTTTGAGCACGTTGAATATATATATATATTGGTTTCCTATTTATGATTTAGCCACTGGGCAGGAGGGATATATTTGTCAGCCCATAGAGCATTGAAGTATACGCACATATGTAGGGACCCTATATGTAGTAGGGTGGTTTATTTATTTATTAATGTTTTCAGTAGAGGTAGCGCAGTAACTTTTATGTTTATCAATAAAATAAACCTAGAGCCCAAGTTAGAAACTCTCTGTGTTTTGATCACTAGTGCCAAGGGCTGCTACACTGAAACCTTGACACTGCATCTGAGCTTGAAGATAAAGAGCACTTGAAGTCCAACTACTGATGTACATTCAGCAGCATACGCCATTCAAAATGTTGTCAGCTCCGGAGGAAACAGAAATGTCTATAAAGACAGTACAAGCCAGATCACGCTCCCATGAAAGAAGTCTCACAGAGAAGGACCAGGAACTTCATGACCTGGAAGCAAAGAGACATGAGAAAGCAATTGGCAAGGCCTATAACTCTTCAAAGACCAAAGCAACGAAGACAAGAAAAAGACTGAAAATATTCTGTTCACTAGAAGACCTTGATAAAAACACAAGACATTCAAAGCAGACATGACAAGGTCTGCCATTATTATAGGTTCATTCAACATAAGCATTCTGATATTGCCAACATTGTCAAGAAAATAGATACTTGCTTTATCCTAACTGCAGAAATCTGCAAACATGTGTGTAAACAACTAAAGACTACTCATGAGATTTATGCTGACCAATTTGAAAAAGAAAACGTGAAAATGGCATTAAAAAAGGAAGGGTATGGGTCTATCTTTGGACACACAAATACAGAAACTGTAATCTGAAAGTTTTCACAAAGATTAGACAAGCACTCTAAAACCAGCTCCAAAGGTCTCTGGCCAACTAACAGATGCAGAAGCAGAGCTTGCAGCTAAAATATAACTGGCCATGGGTATGAAGAAAATCTAAGCTCAGCAGACAATACTTCAGAAACTAGAGAGTGAACAGAAATTCAGTGAAGAGAAAATGCTGGCAGAGATAAAACAGAAAGATGCATCTAAAGCACTTCCGCCTGGCAGTACTAGGGTCGCTGGTTCAAATCCCGACCACGGCACCACCTGCCTGGCGTTTGCATGTGCTCCCTGTGCCTGCGTGGGTTTCCTCCGGGTACTCCGGTTTCCTCCCACTCTCTAAAGACATGCTGGTAGGTTAATTGGCTCCTGTCTAAATTGGCCCTTATATATGTATGGGTGTGAGTTAGGGACCTTAGATTGTACACCCCTTGAGGGTTAGGGACCGATGCGAATGTACAATATATATGTAAAGCGCTGCGTAAATTGACAGCACACTATATAAGAACCTGAAATAAATAAATAAAAGCTGCAGGTGGAAAAGACAAAGTATTAGCATCTACAGGTATACAAAGAAGTCAGAGCTGCAACCCACATTAAAGCTTACAACAATCTTGAAGGTAAGCTTGAATATTATAAGAGGATGACTCTTTCTGTCAAAACATTGAATCCAAAGTCAGACTAAATCGAGAAGCCGTTCTCTTCCAGATTAAAAATATATCACCTGAACTATTAACAACTACAGAAACAGTTATGCAGGCCATAGATGGGTCGAAAATCGGCCGATTTTTCAGCCGAAAATAAAATCGGCCGATTTTCGGATTGTTAGTGGGCTATTTGTTTGGCCGTTTTTCGGTATTTTGGCTGGTTTTTTTTATCGGTAAAGTTGGAAAAAAAAATTGGCCGATTTTGCCGATCGGCCGATTTTCGTGGCAAT